CTTGTTTTTTTGACCCCCTGGATCTGATTGCCTGACCCCCATGAAATTCATTAAATTCATTGTTTTTTTTTTCGCGGCAGGTTTTTTTTTGGGGGGGTTCCTGGTTCTATGCTTTCCTATTTTTCTGCTGTTCTGCATCTCTGCTTTTCTGCTTCTTTGCTTTTCTGCTTTTCCGCCTTTTGCTTTTCCTGCTTCTCTGCTTGTCTACTTCTGCTTTTCTGCTTCTCTGCTTCTTTGCTTTTCTGCTTGTTGCTTTTCCTGCTTGTTGCTTTTCCTGCTTTTTGCTTTTCCTGCTTCTGTGCTTTTCATGCTTCTCTGCTTTACCTGTTTCTTTTCTTTTCTGCTTCTCTGCTTTCCCTGCTTCTCTGCTTTTCTGCTTTTGTGCTTCTGTGCCTTTCTACTTCTACTATTCTACGTTTTCTTTTCTTGAGTCATGCGTTTTTGCTGCTCTACGTCCTGCTCCTCTGCTTCGCTGCTTCCTGTCTTTACTGCCCTTTTCTTTTGCTTTATTCTCTCCTGTTTGTATCCTAAATGAAACCTTAAAGACCCTAGGTGAAGCCCAAAGAAACCCAAAGAAATCCTGGTAAGAACTCCTGATAAGAACCCCCTACATGAAACCCTAAATGAATCCTAAAGAGACCATAAACTAACTTAAAGAAACCATAAATGAAACCCTAACGACACTTTGAATGACACCCTAAATGGCACCCTAAAGAAACCCTAAGCGACAATTTTAAAAAAACTAAATGAAACACAACTTGAAATTCTGAAGAGCCAGTAAACGAAACCCTAAATGGAACACTAAAGAAATAAAGAAACCCTAAAGAAACCTTAAATTAAACCCTAAAGAAACCGCAAATGAAACCCTAAAGAAACTCTGAATGAAACCCTAAAGAACCCCTAAATGAAACCCTAAAGAAGCACCAAAGAAACCCACATGAACGTTTGGAAATCCTGATAAGAAATCCCGATAAGAAACCCTTATATGAAACCCTAATGAAACCCTACAGAAACCCTAAAGAAACCGTAAAGAAACCCACATGAACTTTTGGACATCCTGATGAGAACTCCTGATAAGAAACCCTACATGAAACCCCAAAGAAATTCTAAATGAAACCCCAAAGAAACCCTCAACCAATAGAAACCCCAAATAAAACCTTAAATGACACCATAAATGAAACCGTGAATGAAACCCCAAAGCAACTGGTTATAGATGATACACACACGTATATATACATATGTAATACAAACCATATACATTTATTTGACACACACAAACATACATACATACATACATACATACCATACATTACATTACGTTACATTACATTACATTACATTACATTAATACATACACACAAGCATACGCACACACACACATTCACACATTCACACATACATACATACAGACAGACAGACAGAGACAGACAGACAGAGACAGACAGACAGACAGACATACATGCATACATACAGACAGACAGACAGACAGACATACATACACACACACATGCACACATACATACACACATACACACATACACACACATACACACATACATACATACATACATACATACATGAACATACATACATTCATACATTCCAACATGCATACATTCATACATTCATACATACGTACATACATACATGCATACATACATACACAACATACACAACATACACAACATACATACACAACATACATACATACATACATCCATACATGCACTGCATACACGCATACATGCATGCATGCATACATGCACACATGCACACATGCACACATGCAGCATGCATGCATGCATGCATGTGTGCATGCATACATGCATACATGCATACATGCATACATGCATGCATGCATACATGCATACAGGCGTACATGCATACATGCATACATGTATACATGCATACATGCATACATGCATACATGCATACATGCATACAGGCATGCAGGCATGCAGACATGCAGACATGCAGACAGGCATACAGGCATACAGGCATACAGGCATACAGGCATACACGCATAGACACACACACACATACACACAACATAATAACATACATTTATACATACATACCGACAGACAGACAGACAGCCAGCCAGACAGCCAGCCAGCCAGCCATGCATGCATGCATGCAGGTATGCATACATACTTACATACTTACATACTTACTGACATACATTACATACATTACGTACATTACGTACATTACATACATTACATACATTACATACATTACATACATTACTTACATTACATACATTACATACATTACATACATTGCATACATTACATACATTACATACATACCTACATACCTACCTACATACCTACCTACATACCTGCCTACCCACCTACATACGTACATACGTACATACTTACATATGTACACACGTACACACGTACATACGTATATGAGCAGCGACCAAAACCCCATGTATTCGTTTTATCTTGGGCTCAAAGTAAGACGACCTCGTGGAAGTGAAAACCGGCAGCGCGGAAGAAACCAGGTTTCGCGGAAGCGCCGCGGAACCCGGAAAAGCGTTTCTCGCCACATTCCAGATATGTTCGCGGAAGCGCTGCGGAAGTGAATTGTAGTGCGGGACCGTCCGCGGAAGTGGAAACTGAGGCCGCGGAAGTAGCGCGGAAGTGTCCGCGGAAGTGTTCGTATAAAGGAATAAAACTCAGGTTTTGGCCACAATTCACAGAGAGAAAGAGAGAGAGATATATATACATATATATATATATATACGCCATTATACGCCCATATATCTATATCCCATATGTCTTCTCTCTTTCTTTCTCTTTCTTTTTTTTTCTTTCTGTCTTTCTTTTTTTCTTTCTCTTTCTTTCTTTTTTTTTCCTCTCTCTCTCTCTAATATATATATAATATAGACCGATCTATGGTCATGCATGCATTATGTATTTCCATCTAAGAAATTGCCAAAGGGTTGATTGATGGGTTTTTAACCAGCTGGGATATGAACATCTCCTGTAAAAACACGGATGTCACCAATAAAGAATGTGGATATTTTGTGTTGCAAGATTGCCAGTGGCCGGTGAATAGAATAGATGGTTGGTGTTGTTTAGTTGTGCCATTTTGATGGAGGCATGCACGTTCTATTGGCTTTCCATTTGCACTATGAGTAACGCTTCATGTAACTGAATGTGTTTTTCTTGATGCAGAGGTGCAGGATTTACATGCCATTTGGCATATCTCTTGCACTTACTTTTCAATGAACAAGTTTCTCACCAAATGACGGGTGATGATGGATGGCCCAACCAACAATAATGTATCTTTACATTTCTGGAACACTGGAACACGAATTCGATATTCAAGACAACCGGAAAACCCAAATTGTTTTTTTTCTTCTCACCCCTGAGAGAAGTTCCCAAAACCAAGAGCCACCAAGAAAGAACCCCATGCGAGAAATCACATAGAAAAAAGACTCAAGTGACGAAAGATTGAACGCCCATCATCTTGCCGATGATGACCCAATGATGACTGAACATACAGTGGATTTTCCAGGCCGAGTCAGTGCCTGTCATCATCACTCCCCGGCCGCGCCAATCCATGGCTTCCAATTTTTCAGGCGAGATTTGTGCAGCGGGAAGTCGTGACCCAAAAATTGGAGTTGAAGTGGGATATTCCCCCGCAAAGTGTGTACAGTATAAAGTAGAACTAGTGGTTTTATCAGACTATAGAAATGCGGATGTGGTCAGTAATTTTGTGGGATTTGAACAAATCAGGAGTGTGACCAACAAAGAAGACATGAGGATCATGAGGATGGCTCAAAATTTTCCCACCCCAAGCATGTTGAACATCCATCAGAAACCATTGTTTAGTATATAGGGGATTCACTACCATTGTCTTTAGTAGGGGATTCCATAGGGAGTGTTTCAGATGGGATGGGACTGACCAAGCAGGATTGGGATGGATCCGCCCTGAAGTGAGACCGGAAGGGCCTGGCCCTTGATGGGATGCCACCAGATTGACATGTTTGATATGGGGTTGTCTCAAACTTGACGGCCAAAACCCCACGGTTTCCCATCGTTTTCCCATCAAGATGACAACGGCTCGAGCTTCAAACCGATCCATGTTTTGACCCCGTCAGATGCTGCGCATCGATCGTCCGTGATTACAGACACCGTGATTGCAGAGCCGGAAATTTGGGAGAATGAGCAGGACCTGGGAGAATTTCTTCAGTGGGAAGAAGTTCATTTCCATCCCAGTTGGAATTAGATTAGTGAGACATGTATGGTTATATAGTGTTTATGAGCAATAAACACCTTACTGACTGGGATGCGTATCCGAGTAGTAGTTGTCAATATCAGATGGCGCTAAGACCAGGGTCATTTCATGTAGATGCCGAAGATATTGCTAGAAGCACATGATATCACGATGCCGCCTATGTTTCGTATAATTTATCATATGGCTAATACCATTTCTGTCCCAGGATGATTGTCATAGGAATTCTGTCTACAGGAAGACATCACATTCCCATGATTGCTATCACTACTATTACCAGTAGTACCGCGCAAGGCGGTGGCGGAAGTTTCAAGGATAGGACACTACAGGAGAGGTGAGTTGCTGTGTTTCCCAACTACATACATGATGATGCGGTTGACATATGAAATCGAGCTCTCGCTACATTCTCGTGCGCCTTTTCCCGACTTTCATCTCCCAAAAGCGCTCCGAACCCAACAGTGTTTTAACATTTTCAAGTGGAAATCGAGCTCTCGCTGCAGTCTCGTGCACATTTTGTCGACCTCATCGTCCAAAAGTGCTCCGAGCCCGGCACTTTTTTTTTTAACGATGTTTATGTGAAACCGAGCTCTTGCTACAGTCCTGCGTGCATCTTGTCGACCTCATCTTCAAAAAGTGCTACGAGGCCCTCAGTTTCTAACGATCTTTTGTGAAATCGAGCTCTCGCTACAGTTACAGTCCTGTGCACATTTTGTCGGCCACTTGTCCCGATCGAGCCGCGAAACCGCGGAAACAGAGACCCTCCTTCGGCGACCACGGCAGCCACTTTACCCGAAAAAATAAAGGGTTTCGCGCCTGAGAGTTGTTTCAAGTTTGAACTCACGCGTTCCCGATCTCTCACACTTCCCAACTACATTCATGATGATGTGGTTGCCATGATGATTGAGGCGACCATCATGGTGAGAAAACCAGCCATGACAATCGTTCGTAATTCGGAAGTTTCCTAAGTAAATTTCCTTTGCCTATCCATATTTGTTACCCAAATACAACAAGGTTTCTGCAGGACTAAAGGTTAAAAATAACCACCGGAGGGGGGAATTTGCCATCTTACCTCAACCCTGTATAACTGGGGTATAACATGGTTAGTCCCCACTTCCTGTCACTGATCACCTTGGGGTCAGGACCCAGGGCAGAATCAGAAGCGGCGGGGGGAAGTGAAAAAACAACTGGGTTGTTTGCCACCGAGCCCCTGAGCTTTGCAGTGGGGTGTTTTTTTTTTTTATACTGCTTCTGCAGGAGAAAACCTATAGAGAAACCCCAAGAAAAAAGGGATGAACTATGGAACATCACCATGTTTTGTAGGGAAATACTCTATACACCATAGGGTATAGAAACCCTAAGAACATAGATATAGGAGAAATGGACACAAATGTGCAGGGTTTTCATTTCCACGTTACCTCCCTGGGGGTTCTCATTCTACCGTGTTGATCTATGTTAATGCTATTGTGCCATTGGGTTTGGCACATTGGTTGACGTTTGGGCTAGCGGTTTGGGCAGATGCCCAAAGTTCGTTTCTGTGGATTGAACATAGTTGAATGGTTGAACGGAAAAAACACTTACTCGGCTTGGGTAGCCAGTTCTTTTCAAAAAAAACTTACATTCCCTGCTGTGCACACAATTGGAACGATTTTTTACAGGGAATCTCCAAATATCTCCAAATCCACGTTGAATCCCTTCTTTGTTTTGTGTGTGACATCCACAGTTTTGTTTGTTGGTTAGACTCCAAACGTGTGTTGCTTCATCCGCCGGGTTTCACAATGAAGTCCACAAATCTCATCACAAATCTCATCGCGTTTCTCTTGCTGAAATGAGCATGCCTGTTGCTTGAATCCCCTATTTCCAGTGGTAGAACTGACGCATGCGGATATGGGTTTGGGTGGAAGAATCGGGTCCCTCAAAATCCAGTGGTTTATCGTCATTTTCCCCATTCCACAAGCATTCAACTATGTCGAAATGCAATATTTTCTGAATTTCCACTAGTTACCTCTGGTAATTTGTGCCATGGCGCTACGGGAAAATCTAAAATCTACCATTTCTACTAGGAAGATCTATGGCACAAATGGACCATAGCGTTCCCAGGCCCCACGCCATCGGCTCTCAGGCCTCATCGCGCAAGCGGAAGACTTCGGCTCCAAGAAACGCATGCGGAAGTCGCAGCTCTTGGCCGAAGAGTGCCATGGCCGGCTGAAGGGCCTTGAAGGGTGAAGCCCCGGTGGAGCCCTTTGTGACTATGGCCCAGTTCGATGATGTTGCTATTAAAGAATATCCGATATGACCATCCCATTAAACTCCATTAAAATCCATTAAAGACTGATTTGAGCATATTTGAGCTACAATAGAGGATTTGGATGGATTAGGTGATTTTGGGTGTAAAGGAGGTAGTCAAGATTGGGGGTTCAAAATCACTGCTTTGGGGTGGGGCATATTTTTTTTATCTATATATAGTTCTCTCTGGAGGTAAAGGGCACTAGGTTTGCCTATTGACTACAGGTGGGAATGGATGGCATTAATTACAGCTGTGTGTTTGCCTGTTTTTTCCCTGGGAACATTGGGCCAATTCTTTTGCGCTCAGTGGTTTAGGATAATTCGCCCATATTCTCCCACATTTCGGGGCATATAAAATCATACAAATAAATGAATATAACAAGTGTATCTATAGAAATGTATATAATATTATATAATACATATACATATTTATACACACACATATACATATGTTATATGTAGATCATATGTATTACATGTTGTTTGCCTTGGAACGTTTAGATTTTTCCGACGCTGACCCAAGGAGTCGAAAGCGGGTGGCCGAAAACCAGACCTTGCCGCAGAAGATCATCTCTTCTGGATGGTTGGCCGGCTAAGCGATGGGATCCGAACAGCACTGTGCTGGCCACAAGTGGTGGCTGTGATATATATATTATATATATAGATGAATATATATATAGAATTATATAGATGTATATATATATATGTATGATTATATATATAAATGTATGATTATATATATATATATATAATTGGGATATTTAGCCTATAGAACTTTTAGAGCTTATAGAACTTATATGATATAAATTGGCTTTTAATCCCATCCCCTGTTCATATGAATGGTCCAAGAATATGTCAATTTCCCCTCCTACACCATGGCTTGGGGGAAACGGCCCAATGAGTTGGGATGGGGCTCCTATCCATATGGCCAAACATAGTCCACCCCAAGTATGACAAATGGATGCGCAATACACGTGCAGCATTGAAAGACGATCATGATGTCATGATGATATCAGAGAAGCTGGCATGATGAGAAACAAAACCCGTTTTCCTTCTTCATTTGTCACAATCCTTTTGGTTTGTCGGGATCCTTGGATTCCAACACGCCAAAGCAGTTGATCAATGACCGAAGAATGGGTCGAGTTGATCGGGTCTACGGCTGCCACATCATATACGATACCTCCACAATACCTCCATGGTTTATCTCTTGTCTCAAGAATAATATATACATACATATACATATACATACATATATATATATATACATACATATACATATACATATACATATATATATATTTTTATATACATATATATATATACATTTACATACATATATATACATTTACATACATATATATACATTTACATATATATATATATAGATATATGCGGATAGATATTTGTATATACGTTAAAAGATATAGACTGATAGATGAGATAAGATGAGATGAGATGAGATGAGATGAGATAGATAAATAGATAGATAGATAGATAGAATGAATAGCATAGCATAGAATAGAACAGACTAGATAGTTAGATGAAATCCATCAGGGCAACCATACCCGCACCTTCAGCCCGCAACCGCCCCAGATACCGCACGTCCAGGTACGAGAGCTTAAGTGGTGGCCTGATTTTGTTGAACTGCGGCTTTGTGGCATGGCAAACGCAGAGCAAAGCCTTAGAACCGCGGCGAAAACTACGATGACCTAAAAGGAAAGGGACTTAAATTGCAAGGGCCAGAAAAAGTTAGAGTAGCTAATGCCATCCAAAAAACGATAGAATAAGTAATTTATCATAATCTATCATTATTTTAGGAGGATTTTATGTTTTTCTTTTTTTTGGGGTTGCTTTTTTGCAATAGGAACATCATCTTTGATAGCAACCTCCGATGCCGAAAAGTTGCAAAGCTGGAAATGATGGCGAAAACATGGTCCAACTACCACTCTGGACATACCTTTTCGACTGTCTTTTTTTTGGGTTGCCATACATCAATCCAACATGTGGATTCTTCGTGGATGTTCATTGATCCATTCACGGATGATCTTTCTGAACCTTGCATTCTATTTTTTCCCATAGTTCCATAGTGTGTCGTAATTCATAGACGTTTTTCATCTCAAAATTTGGGATAGCCTGTTATTTCCGGGTCAGACGGAAAAAAATCCAGTGTCTGGAACATTCTCATGGCTAAGTTCAATAGCTAAAGTGTTTCCAAGTCAAAAAACGTTGAACAAAAACAGTAAACATCACCCCCAAATTGGAATGGCCATGAAGAGTGAGGTAGTAAGACAACCATCAATTCTATATAGATTTGTAGCTGTACCCATACATATGTACAAATATATACATGTGTGCGTATTTATCTACAAGAAAAGAGTAAATACCGCCTTGTTGTTCCGCGTTCATCCCTGGTACATGTGTACACACACACATATATATATATGGAGTCCATGGAGTGTGTATGTAAACAAACAAACACATACAAACATAAGATACATTTACATGTATATAAATACATGTAAAAACAAAAGTAAATAAATGAATACATAAATTAATCGATAAATAAAACGCACATTGGCGATATAGATAGATAGTTAGATAGTTAGATAGATAGATAGATAGATAGCTAGGTAGGTACATAGATAGATAGATAGATAGATAGATAGATAGGTAGGTAGGTAGGTAGGTAGGTAGGTAGGTACATAGGTAGGTAGGTAGGTAGATAGGTAGGTAGGTAGGTAGATAGATAGCTAGATAGGTACGTAGATAGAGAGAGAGATATTTACATATATATACATATATATATACACATAGAAGATAGCTAGATAGATAGATAGATAGATAGCTAGCTAGCTAGCTAGATAGATAGATAGATAGATAGAGATAGATAGATAGATAGATAGATAGACAGATAGGTAGGTAGATAGGTAGGTAGCTAGCTAGCTAGATAGATAGATAGGTAGGTAGCCAGCTAGATAGATAGATAGGTAGGTAGGTAGATAGATAGGTAGGTAGGTCGATAGATAGGTAGGTAGGTAAATAGATAAATAGATACACACACACACATATATATGTATATATATATATATCACATACATTTCAAAAAATTAGACATGCGGCCGCCTTGTTAACAATAAATCACGACATTTTGAAGATTTGACCTGGCCAAAGATGTCCCCAGGAAGACGAATCAAACGTGGAGAATTCCATCGAGTTGCACCTTGGACGTGTCGACGTGGCACTGGAAAATCCCCATAAAAGATGCCGACAAAAAACCATCTCAAATAGCGATGACTTATGATGAATCACTTTTAAACAATCTGTTGTTGGGGTTAGTGTAAGCTACAATGACAATTGGTATATCAAGTCAATATCATTTTTCTGAAGATTTTTCTATGAATTATGAAAGAGTTTAGGATGCAACGTGGAACAGAATGGAACTGATGTAAGCATTTGCCGCAACCACAAACAATATTTCAGCTCATTTCAGTACTTGTTAGCTGGGCGCCCAGGAGTATAAAGGAACCTGTCTTGTTCAACGTCATCCAGGGAGTCTTCGCCATTGTCTTCGCAATCGCAGCTCGGTGACAGACATCATGAGATGATTGCGCCAGGTCTTTCAACCGTTTCTGGCGCATTTCGCCTCAGAAGTGCACATTACATCAACGGGGGCACCACCAGGAGATACCAGAAACATGTCCATTGCCTGCGCTTTTAATCCACCCAGGATTTGGGCGTCCGAATATGGGCGGACAAGATGTACTTCCTGAGCTGCCGCAACAGGGAAATCCTGTGGAATGTGCAACTTGGCTACCGGCTACCGCCATCTTTCAGGCTTCAGACATTTACCCTTTTTTTTTGGGGGGGCCATTATCCATCATCTCATCTTGGTCTATAGTCGAGTCCAAGGACGGAGAACAGGGATCCTGTCGATAGGATCTGAACCTGGTGGATCTGCGGCCCTGACTACGTTCGGCTTTTTGTTTTTGCCAGAGGTTTGCCCTGGTTCACATCATGAAAATCATGAATTCACTATACATGAATGGTACTGCATATGATTCTGAAGGGGGGGTCATCCCAAAAAATGGTTTGATTCAGCTTGGCGACTTAGAGTAATTTGCCCAGACGTATGTTCTTTTCCCACTAGTTGCTTTGTTGCGTAACAGAGGGGCACCCTCATTTGTCCACAAAAAGTTGGTATGTGATGGCAAATGTTACTTCAGGTACCATGAGGTACCTTTTACATCCTGGTACATGTACACGCCCTTAATTGCCAAGAGGACATCCTCGGTTGGAATCACCACTACGAACTCTTAGAATCACCGGAGCTTCATTGAGATGATTCCCCCTATGATTTTGATTCCCCCAATGATTCCCCTATGATTATTTTGATTCCCCTATGATTCCCCCAAGACATTTGCCAAGTTCTAACCTCACTGAGGTTAGACTCGTTAGTGGTGGCCTTTGATTTAGCACCTGGACGAAGAGGGCGGGATTGTCGGTGGGTTGGCAAATGTGCCACGGTGGGATTTCGAGCCACCTTCACAGGGTTCGTGGTCCTTTGAAGATCCTTTGCTTGTTGGCTCCTATGAACATGGGGGATTTCGAGCCTTGAAAGGACCCAAGGAATTCCTGCGACCGACCCCATGTTTATGACCAAACTGCTGGCTATAGCCATAGGACCAACGTTTAACGTTGGTGAAATAAGTAATTGAAATATGTTGAAATGACCAGGGAACTCAGGGAACATCCAACAAACTCGGCCCAGTTCAGCCTCTTCCTGGAAGTGTGGGTCCAGTTCGGCTTGCTGCGCATGATGCGCGTCATTCGCATTGTGCGGGTCATCAAGATCATTCGTGTCACTGGGCGGCGCTAGCGACCTCACGGCGACACTGTAATTGATTGGGTTGGGGTGAATCCATTCATAATATCACCAGAAATAGAGAAAGGGGTGGTATAAAGATGATTAAAGATGTATACAAGTATGCTAACCCTCCAAAACTGGAAGTTGAGCATTGGGTTTACCAGATCAACTACATTTACACCATCCCTCGTGGCTGGGCTTTGGCAAAACATGGTAATGGCCCTTGGAATCTTCGCATTTGATCCTCTTGCCGCTTTGAAGGTAGACGTTGGGTATATCACCATATTCCCTATCATCTATTCTCCCCATATATTACGTTAATATTACATCATACTAGTACTATAACTCACAATTCACACACCAGGCTGGGGGCAAAATCTGGGTTTAGGCTTTACCACATGACATGGTACCGGCGAGCCCAGGTCATGAAGTCTTTTGCTGAACTGCGGATGCTCATGTGACCCGGCTCAGTTCCAACAGCCTCAGGAAACCTATGCATCTCTACAAATCTGTATGGATGTATACTGTATATATCTGTATAATTCTGTATATATATGTACATGTATTTGTATATGTATCTGTATATGTACATGTATTACATGTATACACATATATTTGCATCTATCTCTATCTGTCTCTCTCGCTCTCTCTATAACTATGACAAGTATGTGTGCATATATGACAATATGGAAAGGCGTCAGTTTATGGTGACATTATGAGGATCAAACCTTTGGCTTCATCTGGGTCAGCCGGCCTTAAATGTTATTAAATGTTGATGACATAAGAATCCACAATCATGCATGTCGTTATGGGTAAAGATGCTCTAAGCTGGCCCCTGCCTATACAAACTCCGGTGGTTTAGACATGTTTAGACTTCAGGCCTTAGAACAAGCATCCGATTTTGTACACGTAGCCTGACCCTGAATCACCCAAGGGGGGGGGTAATCAAGGTGTTTTGGAGGTGTTTTGGGAGAGACTTCATCCCCGCACCTGCCCAATTTATCCCATTTTTTTTGGTTCAACCAAAAAAAAACAAAATTGGTCAATGCTCATGCCGGTTGCTTACCCCCATAATCGCAACAACTATATATATACACATGTATGTATATATCAATTATTCCTACTTTGATCAATATGTCACACAGTTCAATTTCGTCATGATTATATTACCTAGGTATGGACATATGTTTGCCCCCTCCAGGATAATCACCAGGCCTCCGAAAATCGTCCGAAAACCAGATTTCCCCCTAATGGCTTTCCGAATTTCATCATTTCTTTTCATCAAAGGTCCATTTCGAAAAGGCCATCAACATTTATCAAGAGCCAGCTAAATCAATAGATAAATACATACACACACACATATATATATAACTAAATCTAACATTGAATAATTCGGATTTTCATATATTTCCCCAGGTATTCCATCATCAGCTGCATCAAATCCTTGGTTTGGGTCATCGCGGTGCTGGCTTTGATGCTGGGCCTCTTTGCTGTGCTCTTCACCTCGGCCACGGGCTCCGAGCTCGACACCCTGGAGAAACGAAGGGATCCACGGAACGCCCTGCTGGTGACGCTTGGATGGGGATGATGAAAGGGATAACTTAGGTATAACTAGACTTAACTAGGATTTAGGTAATTATAACTTGGGTACAACTTAGGTCTTAGGTAAAACTCGAGTCTATCTTGGGATGGAACGGGGAAAGGCCCAAGTTTTTTGGGGATTACATAGGCAGAAATGAGGTATACCTTAATTTAAGAGCTAGTTTTGGCATGAGATGGGATGATGGATGGGGGGTTGTTTGGGCAGCCTGAACCAATTTTGAATATATAAACATGAATACGCACATTACACCGACCTTACATAAACCCAAAGGCAACCATCCTTAAAAGCCCCCTTAAACCGCTAAATAAATCTTAAATACACCATAAACCACCCGTAAAGAAAGACACTAAACCACACCTAAATCAAACCTAAACCCGGCCCACCAATTCCTTCCAACCTTTAAACAAATTGAAGCAACATTGAGTATGCATTGAGTTCCGAGATTATTGAGTGAACATGTTTGGCAGGGGGATATTGACGCCACAAGGAAGTCAGAAAGAAGCGCAAAGGTGAACAGGATTACATGTTTGTAGCGGTTGAGTGCATGGGGTCTTCCTGATTGTATTCTTTGCAGTCTTGCGGCCCAGCTCGCCTGAGGGTGTAAACTCACTTACCGTAAAGCCCACATTTATAAGCCTAGCTATGATTAGCTATGCGTTGACGACTTTTTGCAGCGTTGGGTGCTTCGTGTTTTTTTTTTTTTGTGTTTTCACCCCATGCGTGGCTGACCTGGTAGAACACACAAACGCAAACGCATGCATTCATGATCTCCGATTCTAAAAAATGGTCGCATGAAGATGAAGAGAGGTGCCACCAACCATTCATTCAACATGTTTGTGGCTCTTGTCCGCACACTGGTTATTAATTCAGACTTTATTATGATTCTGTATTCTGTTTCCACCGAAAGGATCGCATGAAATAACATGAGCACTGTGACAGGGCTTTGTATTGAAATTGGGCCCGGGGAGATGTTTAAATCCGGTTTGCTTGCTGTCGTTTTGTTTTTGTGTTCTCCGGGGCCCCTTCGTTTTTTTTTTCCTGGATCATTTTTATGAATTACTTTGCTTGCACTTTTTTGCGGGTCTTCGAGCACCCCAGTTTTCCAGTTTTAATAGAACAACAAAAATTGGAACGACGCCACAAATGCACAGACATGCAAGTCATTAAACGCAATCCAAAACGGCACACACACACACATGTCAACAGCAGTCAGCTCACAGAAACAAACACAAACCTAACACACACACACAGAGAACATCTTCAAAACCTTGTCCGGCTGGAGCCGGATTAGAATCATGGCCATTTACACATTGTAGGTGGAACTGCCCCCCAAGGAGATGAGCGATTGCAAACATCGGGGGTTGAAAATTGAAAACATGAACATGTGTGACGCGTGAGGAAGAACATGGGGCAGTTGAAAGACCAAAATGTAGGGTCAAGTCCCAATACAAACACAAGTGTGGTGCGACATGAAACCAACAATAAGATCAACAAGGCGAGATCACCTGCTTACCAGGTCAGCATGACCAGATAATTGGATGATTCAGCCTATTGCGACCTCTGGAAATGGCCATGGTTGGAAATCAATATTTGGAAATCATCAATTTGATGGCTTTACATGAAGCGTGACATTTCTCTCAAGTCCCACCCAATTGCAAGCACGAATGGAGGAGGGATTGAATGAGATATGGACATGGGTGGCCAATTGCGGGCTTAAGCAGTTGGGCACATCACCGCTTCACAAACAAGATGGCCTCATTGCTTCGTTTGGGTATGGGGTAAAGTTTACGAGCAATGGGACCACATATTTTCTTCATTTTTAAGATATATTATACAACCAGTCGGCCCTTGTGGCAGCCAGTTTGATAGAATATCACACATACAGATACATAGATACATGCATGCATGCACACATATATTTGCACATACACTACGCTACACTACACTACACTGCATTACATTATATATACATTCTATTACATTGTATTGGGTTACGCTACACTAGATTACATTGCATTGCCTTGTATTGCATTGCATTTGCGTTTTACAAACGCACAAGCACACATACAAAAAGATCCAATGGAACCTTTACAGAAAATTTGGGGCAGCGCAGACCAATGATGGGGGCAGACCATGCAGGTTCCTGGGGTTTTCTCTCGGCTCAGGAAGACTTTTGGTACTTTGGACCGTTCCGTAGTGGAGCTGTATATGGCAATGACTGGTGGCACGGACTGGGTGGTCCAATATGAGGTGCCAAGGGTCCGGAGGGTCCGGATGCGGGTGGCCGATGTTGAAACTTTCCACCTTTTTTGCCATCGGACAAAGGTGACAAAGTGTACTCTCCGGTACAATGGAAAATCCCCAATAAACGGAGGTTTTTCATGGGAAAATCATCTATAAATTATAAATTCATTGCCACGCTTGATTGCCGGAGGGTGATGTGAATGTGGACATTTGGCCAACTAATTATCCTGCATCGAAGTCGCAGCAACTGCCGAGAGTTGTGTGGGAAAGTTGGCCGCTGGCTCAGGCAGTGTTTTCCTTGCCAGTGATCTACCACGGCATGTTCCTGATTTACATCACCTTCAGTCTCTGGGATAGCACCCCAGGAGGTTTTTTTCACAAGTTGAACGCATCGAAGATCATCCAAACACGTGGTTTTTCCCAGTGTTTCTTGATGTCAACTGGATGCCACGGTCGCAGTTGGCTCAATGCAGCCATCCAAACTGCCTTCAACTGAAGAATGCTGAGGCATTTACGCCCTGGCGAACGTCATCACCAGCGTCTTAGAGTGAAGATTAATTATCTGTTCTTTTTCAGTTGATTAACCATGATAATCATGGTTAGTCTACCAGGTCTACCATGTTGGGATGTACTGGGACTGTCCAAAAGTTCTCCATTGCCCCAGCTGACTCCAAGGCATTTTCCTCGAAAATGCGAGGAGGAGCAGCAAGACGGACCGCGAGCATGTCATTCAGGAAGAGCTGCAGAGCAGGACTCAATATATGCGAGACATTGAGATGATCTTTGCCGCACCCCGGTGGCACTGATGTGGAGATGTTGTTTATTTGATGTTTTATTTGGATGTTTTTTTTGGATAGATGGGGGTCCTGCAGCCCATGTTTTCGACACGTTTACCGTTTACTGATGAAGTCTAAGCTTCAGCTGCAGAGTTCCGCAATTGCTAATGCATCATTCTGAACAGCATCTTGCTTTATTGTTTGAAGGATTTAATTTCCTTGACATATGGGGGTTTGCTAAAATGGGGGTACCTCCAAATCATCAATTTTAATTGGCTTCTTACAACAACAACTACTACTACAACACCTACCACAGCTACAACTACAACATTACAACGACAACTACAACAACAGCAACTACAGCTACAACTACAGCTACACTACACTACAATACAACTACGTACAACTACGACTGCAACTACAAGTACATTGCACTACACTACACCACACTAAGTCCAGCAGTTGTGGTTGAGGTGACCACTGCAACCACTCCAAAAAGCACAACTCCAGCCACCTTTCGGTCCATCAGTGGATTCGCTCTGCCATCCATGCATCACAACAACTCATCTATGCTATAGTGCTTTGAAACTTCCGTCACCGCCTTGTGCGGTATTACTGGTATGACTAATCACGGATGGTATATACAGCATATAGACATATATAAACCCTGACTATATGAAGATATACCATAGTAGGTTGGTTAAGACTATATATTACCCTGTCTCTATGACATATATTACCCAGCATTATGACTATTGAAGATTGGTTGGTTAAGAGGCCCTTAATGGGTGCCCCAAACACAACCTCTGTGGGTCCATGGAGTTGAAGGGTGCCCAGTATTGAGGAGATGGATGTGGATGGCAATGGCCTCATCAGCCGACAGGAGTTTGAGGACACCATGGGGGATGAACGTCACTTGCTGGCGAGGGCGGCGAGGGGTGGGGGTTTCATTGTTCTTGGTGATCTTGGTGAGGCTTCAAGGTTTTTTTGTTTCACTTCAAAGGTGTTTAGATATTATATACACATCTTTTATACACATATACACTTTGCATGTGTTTTTGCATGTGTTATATTGCCCTTTTTCCTGTCCCTGGATCGGGTGGGATGATTATACCGATGAACTAACCAACGTGGTTTTTGGGCTGTGATGGTTTTGTCAAAACCACGGGAACCTGTGGGATTGCTTTTTGACTTGTAGCGGGTGCTTTCGCCATTGGGTATGGAAGCATGCTGAACATAGATCATTTGTGGAAGCTGCTGAAGAACATATAGCTGGCCATGTTGTTGTCTCAAGATTCGGCGTGATTCAACAACCAAGCGCTTGTGTACCTGGTCTTACACATCCCACATTTGAATCATTTCAATATTCTAGATCAGTTATTATAGGGTTTTGCAATGTTTTGCATTCATTATTATTTGATTTTGTTTGGGGTGGTTGCTATGCCCCATAAGAATCCATAATAGGGGTACATACTAATCAACCAGTCTAGCCGAGATGATAGGTACAATTACTCCTAGCATTCCATCTGTTCCAAACCAAACACATAGATTGATGCTAGTAAAAAGGCACTAGAATTATATTATATTCATATGTTCGATATTGGGTCGGTATCTCGTTATATTTAAATTTACCTTCTGGTAAATTAACATAGCTATGGAAAATCACCATTTTTAATGGGTAAATCCACTATAAATCACCATTTTCAATAGCTATGTTAGTTTACCAGAGGGTAAACAATATTGACAGCTTAAAACCCCCCAGCTGGTTTCTCACCAGCTGAGGTGTGGTGGCCTATTTCAGGTCCATGAAACTGGACGCCAGACCCTTGACCCAAAGCTGGTGGATGTAGATATCGGTGTCACACAAACATATAATACAAATATATGATATATGCGTACACAGACACACAGACACACACATAATGATATATACTGTATATATATATATTCAGAACCATGTATGTATATGTATGTATATATATATATATGCGTGTGTACATATACGAGTACAAATCCGTTGAAATACGGCGATGAAAGAGAGAGAGTGAAGCCCAACAAAATCCAGCCGTTGGAAGAACCAGATTTGTGAGGAGAAGCGGAGCAGGTCTTCAACCTTTTGGACTATGACGATTCAGGTCGAAGCCGCTGCAGTTTACCTGGTTTTATCTAAATAGTCGTGGTTTACATCAATTTACGGCAACTGTCAAGGGGAAACATGATGGTAAACCATAGGACATCGGATTTTGAGGTAGCCTATGATACTAGAATGTGTGATAGAAACCATAAAACTTGGGGATTTTCCCGGCCGGATGGACTTCCAGATGTTCCCTCCAAGTGCAATTTCCAAGAATATAACTGACATCGTTGATATTTGTGCTGCACTTTTAAGTTGAGAACCTGGATATTCATATATATATATATACACACACTTGTTTTTCAACACCGTCCCAAAATTGTTGTTTCATTGCCTCTGGATATTCATTATTTAGTTTCATTTAGAGAACCATCTAATGTTTTTATATATTGAGGCAATTTCTCATTGTTATTCTATAAATCCCCTATGGTAAGACAACACTTTTGATGATTATATAATGCTTGTACTTTGTAACCACCAAACATGCTTGGAGCAGGTGAGGTGAGCTACGAAGAGTTTGTGGACGGCTGTTGGAAGTTACAGGGAGAGGCAGGGGAGACGGCCGCTGAGCGAAGTCCGATCCACCAAGGATGGTTCAATCAACTGGCAGGTAGGCAGATAGGCAGCCAAATGGAGCTAGCCAAATAGAGCTATGCCAAATATTGTGGAGTAAATCATGCCCATTTATTCATTAGTAAACCCTTCCTTTCCGGTCAAGGTCCGTTTGTTCTTTAATACTCATTTTGGCTCAAGATGAAACAGCTGCTGCCCTCGTTGTGGTTGCGACCTTTCACAATTGTTCTTTTGGGGTTCTGTTGTAATCAACATTTCAGTATATTTCAATGGAGGGGGTATTTTTTTTGGCATTTTTTTTTTGGTGGGCATTTTTTTTTTGGGCTTCTGGCTTATTGGCTTCTGGCTTTTGGCTTTTGGCTTCTGGCTGCCGGTTTTGGCTTTTGGCTTCTGGCTCCTTCGGTTTCTGGCTTCTGGCTTGTATTTCATTTTGGAGCCAAAATCTCTGATTTGCGTGCTATTTGCTGCAGTTTGGAGCCAATTTGCATGCCCATTTGGCTTTTGGCTTTTGGCTTCTGGCTCCTTCGGTTTCTGGCTTCTGGCTTGTATTTGCTGCATTTTGGAGCCAAAATCTCTGATTTGCGTGCTATTTGCTGTGGATTAATGTCACCCCCTAGGCCGGCTGTTTCATTCGGGGTACCATTGAAGTTCAGATGAAATCACCATTTGGGCAGTACCCCCCAAATTTATAAACGATCAAGTATATGTAGCCACCTCACTGTGACCTGCCTCAGGCGCGAAGTTTGGACATGAAGATGGTCCAATTGGCTGCTGGGCGTAGCTAAAGACTTGGCAAACCATGGGACAAAACGCAAAGGTGCTGTGGTGAAAAAAGGGGATTAACGGTTATACATGGTAAAGTTCATTAACCATTCATGATCATTGGGTTTTAATGGTTGCTAATTTTTAATCATGATTGATAATGATAATTAATGGTGATTATCAATGGTTGATACTGTTAATTTATTATTCATGAGAAAGAGAGAACACAATAAGAAACCACCTGTATGTATTGATGGTTTTTACCACCCATATACTCATGAAACAACATGGTAAGATTGGGATGGTGGATCCTATTGCTTTACTACCATTAATGAGGATAAGCATGTGTAACCAAAACAAAATGTGAGAGAGAACTGAATGACACTCGTATAATGTTTGGCCACTATAAAGTGCTGTTCATGGCCACTATAAAGTTCACATTTCGCCATTGCCGTTTCAAACGTGCTGATATGGGTGCATGACTTTGTGCTTTCAGAACTTAGGAACCTGAAAAATTAATGAATAGATTGGTTGACGGGTTGGGATTCAGATATCGGTATGTCCATAGAGTTTCCCAAGATTTTCCAAGGCTCTGACAATGGAAAACCGCTAACAAAATGGATTGTCGGCATTCAAATAGGCTCAAAAACATCTAGAAATACTTTGAAGCGGTCTATACAAATTATTCTGAATTCATGTGAGACATGATGAACAATTGATTAGTTGACGCTGGGAACACTAATTGCTGTGTCAACCCATGTTTAATTTCTCATTGCTTGGCAACACACACACACAAATCATTGTGTTTAGTCATCCCCCTCTGGTATATCACGTGTGCTATGGCCATAGCCGTGGAAAGTTCCCATTCATTTTATACAGGTAAATCATGAAACTAAAATGGGCAATCTATACCATAGCTATGATAAAAAATCCAAGGGGTAAGCCTCAAAAACTGGGTTAGGTAGGGACAAGTAACCGTCTACAGACCGAAAAGCATTTGGTAAGTTTCAGCTGACGAGTGAAAAATGTTAAATACCAACTCGGGATGTTTAAAATCGCAATTGTTCATGCTATTTGATGGTGAATTTCTTTGGGGGAAAGCCTCAGAAAAGCTTGGCCCTTCACCAGGAAGTGGCAGCCTTGAGTCGCGCCGTTCGCGGCGTCGCTGGGGCCGGAAAACTAGCGAGACTAAAGGGATTTAACCAGCAACAATAGAATCTTTTTAAAATTTAATGAGATTTAGTGGGATGTGAATTGTTTAATCGGGGTTGAATGTGAAGCTCAGGCACAAAAAAACACAGATGATACAATGATAGGATTGGGGATATGATGAGATACGGAGGAAATCCTGCACCAATCCCTGTTTGGGGAGCCTTAAAGTGGTGCAACCTTTCTTTTAATAAACACCCTCCCCCGAAGGTCGACAAGGGAATCAAAAAACCCAACCCCCCGAAATAATCTTCCTTTCATTCATCCATGAACCAATGTTGCTGGAATTAGCTTGCAAATAAGCACCGGTGGATCGTCAGTTCTATGGGAATTAGCTGCATAAGAGAATCCATGAGGTATTAAATTTGATATGCTCAGTTTTGAATTAGCATCCATGAAGGGTGAATGGCTTGAATTTGGAGGGAATTAGTTGGACATGACTTAAGGCATGAGTTTTACTGGAAACAGCTGCGCCGTAGCATCCATGAAGGGATCAATTTTGATGAAATTGGCTGGACAGTAGCCTCCATGAGGGGTTCGTATATTTTTTTTTCATTTTTGGCGTCTTGAAAGTGCCAAGTGGACAAAAACATCCTTGGGAGGTGGCTGAGGAAACATCAGGCAATGCAATGTTGATACAACTGTTGCCAAATACTAGATAATTGCACATGAAACCAGCATAGAAAAAGACTCTTCGCGGCTGGTGGGGTTTACTAATTGTGCCAGCATGAGACGAATCAAAGGAGGAATAAGATAGGGAAGGGTCACTAAGCAACCCTGGAACTTGTAACCCAAATTAAAAAGTAAAAGGGAGTAATAGCAAATTAGTCCCACCAAAAATTTAGGGGTTCCGCAGGTTGGTGAAATCATTATTTAGGGGGGAAAACACCCCTAATTGACTTTAGTATTGCCTCAAAATCGGGGATCAGCCGGGGTGGGATTAACTTGGGGGGGATTATTAATCCTAACTTGAAATTATGTGTAGCCACCCATATCCATTTTGGTATTTTTTGGGATTCGGGCATTGAACCGACCAACAAAAAATGGGATTTCACCAGAAAACATTGGGGATTATAAATTAACAATGGGCATACATGATCGAGCTGAACAGTAGGGATGACATTCCACATGGCGCCTCAAGTTGAGCTAAACTTGGTAGGTTTTGACCAGGGAATTGTTGGTATACCGCTCCGTGGATTCACTGATGGGAACTGTTAAAAAAATGTTTAAATGTATGACTCATGACTGTAAGATCTTTCAAGCGATGAATAGAGATTTAGTCAGCCAAAATAGGGATGCCAAGTAAAATGGATGGGAATACTTAATGGGATGTTGGTGAGCGTATTCCATGACCTGTGTCTGAATTCGCAGACCCCATGATTGTCATGAAACATTGGCTGCAACCAATTTTTGGGCAAAACCATGTCCCCAGCTGGTTGAAATATGAAGAATTATCCACTCATCCCACTCCAAAGATTCTTGGAATCCGCCATGATACGTAGGATGCCAGCGTAATGACTTTTTAATTCACGACTAATGATCCGCGCGGCGCCGAGGTACAGCAGTCTATGGACCAATCGCATAGCAAAATGCGGAGGTCACATGTACCTGTAGAGACACCTGAAGAGTTGCCTTAGGATCCCCCCCGGCTGGTAGTTCTTGTTGGGGTCAGGAGGATCCAAGGGGTGTCATGGGACATGACAAGCGAATGGCTTGATGCCCTTGGTGTCTTTTTCAAGCGGAGAATCCACAACCGCAACGTGGCAATGGAAACTTCGTGGAAAGCTGCCTAGAGCTGAAGTTTTCCTGAATGGACTTGGGTTGGGCCACGGATGTGGCTATATTCTATGTTGACTTGCAATGGAAACTTACTTAGCATGTTGATAGATTTGAGGGCCCCCAACTTTGACACGTACCTCTACTCAGTCTAATCTTATCTTGTTTTGAACCCTCCATTCAAAGGCTCAACCAGCGGCTGCGCCGTTGGCAATTTCTGAAGGGTGGGGCTGCCAGTCAAACTGTTCATCCCACTACATGTTGATCACAACGACCACTTGCTGAGCGCTTGGTCTGCAAAAACCTTGGATCTGAGTGCTGCACTGCACTGTTTTGTTTTGGGGGGTTGATGTCCGCAGTATTGTAAAGGTAAGCACGTAGTGAGCTAGATGCCAGACCAATTTTATTTCATTATATTTCATGTTTTGCTTAATTATAACCCAACATCGATATCAATGTCAATATATATATATATATTTAGTTTTTTTTAAATATAATATATATATATAAACGTATGTATATACATATAACACCCAATAATCCACAATATAAATTAACTTAACCCTCAGCTATTGCTTAGCCTCCTTCATGGGGGCATCCCATGAAGGAAGCTTCAGCTTCGGCGCCCGAAGCGCAGGGTGCCCAAAACAGGCCTGGGGAAGCTGAGTTTTCCCATTGATTTACTGGGGAAAACGAAAGATATCCCTGGCCAAAACTGAGCTTCACCAACTTGCTGATCAAAGGCCATGAATGATGGATGACTCTTGGTGAAAGGTAGGCAAAGACATGTATGTATACATATATATATATTTGACTTATTGGGTATACCCATATATAATCCATTGTTAATACCCAATGTAATATACCCATACATATCTATCTATCTATCTATCTATCTATCTATCTATCTATCTATCTATCTATCTATCTATCTATCTATCTATCTATCTATCTATCTATATATATTGCGCACGGCTTCAGAGTCTGTTGGCCAGCTAGACGCAGGCCAAACAGTGCTTTGCTGTAGGCCAGAGCACTACTACTCCTCTCGCTCGGGTGACCATGGCTTTGCTAAAGACTGGGCGCTAACCACAGGGCGCGACCCAACAAACTTGCTCAAGGCATTGAAAGTAATGTCCTCAACTTCCACTGTCCAACCCACCTGTACACCTTGTTGAGGAACATAGATTCTCAAAAATGAAAGTGCCACCGAGTCACCCCAAGAAATGTCAGCCTTTTGAAACAGCAACCGAACAACCTTCTTAAAATAGGAGAAATCCGAAGCAAAAGTAACAACAGAAAACCTGCAACCTCCATCAGTAACACTCAGAGGCATGCGCCGGGGAGAAGCAAGCCTAAAAGCAACATAAATTTCAATTAGGCTGACAGTTCGCATGCGAGAGGCTGCCACATCTTGTGCAATGATCCATGACAAAAACTGTGCAGTAATGGACCGGAAATGCGCATCATGCCGACAAGTGAAAAGAGTTCCATTGTCAACCCAAGGCTGTAGTTGTACAGAAAGTGAAGCCGAGTTGTGGAACCAAACAAATTCAAGCGGTGAAACATCGGGATCAACCTCATGTTCTGTGTCACATCTTTCTTTGCAGTCAAGGTCTGCAATTGCTTTTTGGTATCTTGTCATCTGAACTACTTTCTCCTTCCACTTGGCACGAAAAGATTGATGCTGCTCCCAAATCCTCTGAAAGTAAGCCGGCCTGGTCAGATTTGCAAACAGAGCTTGCCTGTCTGCGCAGTTGTTCCAAACTCGTGCAAAATCTTCAACCGGCGACTCACAGTTGCTCTCCTTGTCATGACTTGCAACTTTGTGGACATGAATCTCGGCAGAAATGCGTTGGAGTTTGGCCTGTATTGCTCGCCAAATGTCCTCATGTTCTACGTCCTCCAAATCGAAAATACCCCGGAGTATGTCCCGGGCAGAATCAACAACCCCTTGGTTATCAATCCAGATATGCACTGTCCCAGTGAAATGCTCTATCCAGGAAACTACACTAAGAAAGGCAAAAGCTTCAGCTCGGGGAATTGTCTGCTGGATACCAGGAAGCGGACCCCACGCCAGTGGTCCTTGGCCTGCTACAACAACTGCCCAAGAAGCAAGCGCATCAGCCGCACAAAGCGGACGAGCCACCGATCCATCCGTAAAACAATGAAGTGTAGTTCCCGTTGGGGCAAATTGATACTCCGTAAGTCCTGATGGCAAAGTGATCAGCGCTTCCCACACCAACGGCTGCCAAGGATTAGAAGGAACCCACCCATGAACTTGAAAACACTGAGGCAAGGCATCCCAACCATCAAATAAATCGCAGTGAGCGGCTCTGACGTCATCAAAGCGGCTACATTCTGTCAACTTATGCAAGTGAGTGTCAGGAGTATTACACCATACGCAGTCATGAGAAATTCTGGTGTCAAACTTGGCTTTGTTGTCATTGGCAACGAAAGTTCCATCACGTGCAGTCATGAGGTGCGCCTGGTCAACAAGACCAAAACTCTTGTCATTGCTGGTGGTGAGATCAACCTCACAACCTGACTGAAGCCCGTCAAAACCCTCGCGTCCAGCAAGTTGCACTACTTTGGAGTCCTGATAGGACCGAGCCAGAACCCATTCCAACACTGTGTCAGAGCAATGAAGCAAACTAATGAACCCATTCTCGGAAAACCAAACTCGAAGCTCTTCATCAATATGCAGCTTGATGTCAGTGGTGATCTGCATAAGCTTTCCAAAAGGCCCATGTGTTTCTTGTTCCGAACCTTCCGTACAGAAAAGTCTCCACCAGTCCCGCACTACAGTATTGGAGCGACATTGGTGTCGCAGCATTTTAACTACAGCTTTTAGTTGGTACCATTCTGGGTCAAGCTGCAAGTTCAGCAGCGAGAGTCTCGCTAGTGGGGAGGCTCCAGCGTGGTTCCAATGCAAAGCCTGCATGACACCCGATCGGAGTTTGTCAAAGTGTTGGACACCTACTTTCACTGCCTCGCATCCATGCAAAGCCCGAGGCCAGATGCACTGAAGGATGTTAATCTTCTTGACCCCCTGAGGCAGCTTAGCTTTGCGAAGTTTTCCAAAAAGCGGGTGTACAGCACTCATGCGATCCGTAAGGACTCTGTTTCTCAACTGGCGGCAGTAGGTGACTTGTCCCCCCAGGTCCCGGTTACCCAAAGTAACTACGTACCCATTATCTTTAAGTTCACGACGTCCGGCTGCACAAGAGGACCATGCATACAAACTCTTCTGGTCAACGCTCAAGTCCAAAAGACGACAAAAAAGATCAAGCTGTGTGGAACTGACAGTCAAGTCTCGGACCTTATCACAAACAAGCTCAAAATTGTCGACGTAGCTCAAAGGAATGACCCTAGGCGTCTGAACGCGTTGCCAAGTATGCCACACCAAGTCCACGGCAGTCATTGCGACACAAGCCAAAGGACATCCTTCTGGGAAGCCAGTGTTGGAAAGAATGGCATCACCAGTGCAACGTCGGACAACGAAATGCCGAGTGAACACAGACAAATGAGAAGCCCACATGCCAAGAAACCAAGACGGCACTCCAAGAAAACGGAGGAAAGCAAACGTGGGATCCCTAGGAAGGGTGTTGTAGGCCTTCACCAAGTCAGCTACAAGTCCATGGACAGGCGTACTACCCTGAAAGGAAACTTCAAGACAGACCCCAATGAAGTACCAGACATCCGCAGCTTGGCGTTTGCGAAGGAAGCCACATTGCATATGGTCCGACCATTCGGCAAGTTGAGCAAGAATTTGGCCTGACCTGATGCCTGCATAAACACGATAGAACAAACTCATGACGGTGATAGGCCGAAATCCATCTGCTGTTACACTGTCATCTCGCTTCTGCAAACAGTGAATCAAACCCACGCACCACTGCTTGGGCCATGCAGAGCCTTGCTCAAGTGAGCGGAAAAAGTCCAAAACGCTCTGAACATGATGATCCCTCATGTTGACAAGATCATTTCTAGTCCACCCACAGGGACCGGTGGCTGCTGATGTCTTGAACTTCTGAACGGCCCGACGCCAGTCGGAAATGCTGACAGGGGGCAAAGAGATATGCCCTGAAGGAAGATGCGCTTCGGCAAACTGCTGGATTTGGTCCCATTGGCCCGCAGGGACATGTGAGTGCTTGGTCCACCTAGGAGTCCAAAGGTTGGCAAAACGAAGCTGGATTTCCTGGGTATCATGCACAAGTGTGGTGCAGGTCAGTGACTGCCCATCAACCAGCAGAAAATCACTGTCAACTATATACCCACCTTCAACTGGCTTGACAGATGCGGGTTGAGATTGTAAAGTCCACTTGACAACATGCTGATCAGGAAAAGGGTTTGGGACTGAAACCTTACCTTGCCTGGCATCAACAACCGTGATGGACTGGGAGACAGTATCCTCAAGACAATCCAGGACATACTTCGCAGGCTTACGGGTAACTGCAAACAAACCTTGAGTAGAAGCAAGTTGTTTGGACCTACAGCTATCCTGACGACGTCGCCACTGATAGTGCTCAAAACACCTATAGTTGTAGTGGAAGTCATCATAAATCCATTGAAAAACCTGGGCATCCGGAGGAAGGGCCGGCAACAAAAAAGGGGCTCCTTGCTGTTTATGTGGTCGGCAAGTCCACCAAGCTGCAAAACCACCTTTGAAACCATGCGCACGCACTATGCTATTCCAAAGGGCTGCTCTTGAGTGATAGTTCTCCTGGTGCCGATCTGACAAGATGGCATGCTTGTATGACTGCAGGCGCCTAAGCTGCTTGAACCAATTGGCACTGGCTCTGTTGAGAAATCCACAAGTTTGCTCGACTTCGCCTGGCCGGCTGTGCTTAGGGACCTGTGGCAAATGGCGCCTCTTTCGTGGTTTGGTCATTTGACCTCTCCCATAAAAACTTCTGTCAGTTTGATGTATGCCTGGTTGCATGCATCTAGAAACCCTGATCTCAAAGTCATGACTCCATGAGCGGAAAGCCTCGGTTGACTCAGACTGACCAACGGACTCAAAATCCAAACGACTGTCCAAAGACAAACTGTGGCCACCCACAGGCCGACGGCTTGAATCGAGG